ATAAAATGTTTGCTTTTGGGTTTCCTTTGTCACCTGCAGCAACTTTCTCAATGTAAGCGCATATCTCCACTGCTGAAAAAGAGGTTCTTGCCCATTATTCTTAATGTGTAGAATTCAGAGGTTGCATATATCTTTGAAAAACTGAGTGAAAGCAAATTATGTTCTCCTTAGGTGTTTTTGCGGTACATCAATGTGAAAGTAGCCTTATGAACAGTTTAAGTCTAAACTTCTCTGGTCAGAACATTCACAGCCCAAAGACTCTGCACCCACCCCCACACGGGAGCACTGAATGACTGAGCTGCTAATAGTCCAGCACCAGCGGTGACACGTAGAGGAAAGAACAATGAGCCACTTGCTCCCCATGTTTGTAAGTGTTGCTCGGGTCACTTTACATTTCTGAGCAAATGACATAACGGAGGAGGTAAGTATAAACTGCCGCAAGGGTCAACATTAAAGCTGAACTCCATGTATGAATTTAATTGCATACTTAAAGTGACACTAAACTCTGGTTTACAATAAGAAAATTATATTCAAGTATAAATTCTTTTAGTAAACTTTAAATAGTTGTTTTTTACCAACTTGGTCCCAATGAGCAATTTTCTTCACTGACACATGCAGCGGCTGTCAGTGCTATATGAACTGCACCTAGCCTCAGCTACATACACAATTCAGCGCTGTGATCTGGCAGCGAACAGGGACTTCCCATCCCACTCCAGCAACAAAATTGAGTCAGGCTAAGCACTTTTATGAATGAATACAAAGGTTTCTCTGATTGGTTGAGGCAGAGAGGCAGGCAGGTAACAGCAAACTTCAGCTAATCAGAGGAAGCCTTGTATTTATTCAGAAAATACAAAGCCTTCTGTGAATGGCTGAGCAGCACTCAGCCCAATTGGATTTTATTCCGGGAGGTGGATGGAAAGTCCTGCACTATCATTCATGGTGACTTTGACATCCCCGTTATTGATAACATCCCGACTACCTCTAAACTTCTCAATTGTAAGTCTCTATGCAGTGTGCATACAGATAATTATCCATCTAAATGTAGCCTCATACCATGATATGATGAATTAGATCCAATTAATTCAGTAATGTCAATAAGAAGTTGATTGTCACCACAAGACCAGATCATACAAAAGGAACCTTTTTGGGTTAAAAAATTATTTTTAAAAACAAGCAACTGCTTCAAAACGCTGGGAGATAGTTGGGTGTGGTCCCGATCTCCTTCCGTATAATCTGCTTGGTTGATCGCTGACCAGGGGTGGACTGACAACTCATGGGGACCCCGGGCAATACGGGATCATGGGGCCCCTGTGTCCTTGCCCACACTCAAAGCACACCCAAAAAAATCCTATAAAAGGTACCAGGGGCATTTCATGGGGCCCCCTACTGACCCCCGGGCCCTCAGGCAGTGCCAGAGTGCTTGAATGATCAGTCGCTGAAGTCTCTTCTGGTTTTCAGTCTTCAGGTGACATCATCCCTGATTCCCGTAGTTGGACAGCCTGCCTTCCAATGGCCAAGACATGTGCTGACACCCCTTCTCCCCTGCACAGAAATTCACTGGGAAGATCAGTGTTTTGCATTTTATTTCTGCTTTGAACTGAAAATTGTTTGACAAGATGAAAGTTCACCTATACTTTAATATATGACAAACCCATAAGTGGGAAGACATCCTCACGGTGCAAAGTAGGAATATACACTGATCAGCCATAACATTATGACCACCCACCATAACCTATTGAGGCATGGACTCCATTAGACCTCTGGAAGTAGGCAGTGTGTAGAAGAAGTAGAGATGTCTGCTCTCCTCCGCTGACAGTTTCCTGGACACCTCAGTCTGTCCGTCCATCCGCCCGCCCGTACATGGAAAGCCTCTTGTGCCTCTATCCTCTGTAACTCGGCAACCGAAAGGAGATTACATGGCGCGTCTGTGACAGTTATTACAAGATCCATTCAAACATCCTATTGAACATCATTCAAGAATAAGTCTTTTTGTGGATAATGCTACATCCAGTCCTGTTGGTTCTACATTGATGGTCATAGAGTAACCTTTACTGTTTAACCCTGAGTCCTTTGAGAAGGTGAGAGAAGTTGCTGCCATCCACGAGCCATCCAGGGAGGAATCCATACCAGGTTATAGAGGGCCTTCAGATGTTTCAGCTGACCTTCTGAGATATTGTATTTCAAATGCGCAATGAAATTGCGCATCTGGTGAGTGCACAATTTATTACTTGATTGTCACCAGAAGATATGGGAAGGGATCACTCCTTTATCTGATATCTCACTATTAGACTTCACACCTGATCATTTATGTGGACTTCGTTTGCACTTTATGCACGAATCTTCACTTTTAATCGAATGACTGGTTATTGAATACACTTTTATATCTAATTTTTGAACGTACACCATTGGACTGATATTTATAAATATTTTATTATATGATTCACATCACTGGTTATATACTCAATTGCAATGTTTTTTTATATAAGCGCTGCACCTTTATCTATATTTTGTTCCTGGGAGGTTGTTTTGGTACCTTTTTGGTGTCCCAGCTGCTGTACAATATAGCACTCACTTTTACCTTTGTGCATTGGTGTTTATTGATGATGTGACAGAAGACAGAAGCAGCCAGATGAATTCTATAGTGTATATAGATATACTGTCAGCCCAGATTCAGCCAAATGCAGCAAAGTTGATTGGACGAAGCTTCACAGTACTGATGGACAATGATCCAAAACACACTGCAGAAGCAACCCAGGAGCTTTTGAAGAAAAAAAGTGGAATATTCTGCAATGGCCGAGTCCATCACCTGATCTCAACCCAACTGAGCATTCATTTTACTTGCTGAAGGCAAAACTAAAGGCAGAAAAACCCATAAACAAAGAACAACTGAAGATAGCTGCATTTAGAGCCTGGGAAAGCAACAGAAAGGAGGAAACCCAGTCTTTGGTAATGTCCATGGGTTCCAGACTTCAGTCAGTCATTGCCAGTAAAGGATTCTCAACAAAATATAAAAAATGAACATTTTATTTATGAATATATTCATTTGTCCAATTACATTTGAGCCCCTGATAATGGAGGGACTGTGTATAAAAATGGTTGCCGTTCCTAAAATTTGTACTTGATATTTACAGTATCTCACAGAATATTTTATTATATTTTTTCATGTGACAACACTGAAGAAATGACACTTTGCTACAATGTGATATAGTGAGTGTACAGCTTGTATAACAGTGTAAATTTGCTGTCCCCTCAAAATAACTCAACACACAGCCATTAATGTCTAAACCGCTGGCAACACCCCTAAGTGAAAATGTCCAAATTGGGCCCAAAGTGTCAATATTTTTTGTGGCCACCATTATTTTCCAGCACTGCCTTAACCCTCTTGGGCATGGAGTTCACAGGTTCATAGGTTGCCACTGGAGTCCTCTTCCACTCCTCCATGACAACATCACGGAGCTGGTGGATGTTAGAGACCTTGCGCACCTCCACCTTCCCTTTGAGGATGCCCACAGATGCTCAATAGGGTTTAGGTCTGGAGACATGCTTGGCCAGTCTATCACCTTTACCCTCAGCTTCTTTAGCAAGGCAGTGGTCGTCTTGGAGGTGCATTTGGGGTTGTTATCATGTTGAAATACTGCCGAAGGGAGGGGATCATGCTCTGCTTCAGTATATCACAGTACATGTTGGTTTTCATGGTTCCCTCAATGAACTGTAGCTCCCAGTGCCGGCAGCACTCATGCAGCCCCAGACCATGACACTCTCACCACCATGCTTGACTGTAGGCAAGACACACTTGTCTTTGTACTCCTCACCTGGTTGCTGCCACACACTCTTGACACCATCTGAACCAAATCAGTTTATCTTGGTCTCATCAGACCACAGGACATGGTTCTAGTAATCCATGTCGTTAGTCTCTTGTCTTCAGCAAACTGTTTGCAGGCTTTCTTGTGCATCATTTTAGAAGGGGCTTCTTTCTGGGATGATAGCCGTGCAGACCAATTTTATGCAGTGTGTGGCGTATGGTCTGAGCACTGACAGGCTGACCCCCCACCCCTTCAACCTCTGCAGCAATGCTGGCATCACTCATACGTCTATTTCCCAAAGACAACCTCTGGATATGACGCTGAGCACGTGCACTCAACCTCTTTGGTCAACCATGGCGAAGGGCCTGTTCTGAGTGGAACCTGTCCTGCTAAACCATTGTATTGTCTTGGCCACCATGCTGCAGCTCAGTTTCAGGGTCTTGGCAATCTTCTTATAGTCTAGGCCATCTTTATGTAGAGCAACAATTCTTTTTTTCAGATCCTCAGAGAGTTCTTTGCCATGAGGTGCCATATTCAACTTCCAGTGACCCATAGAAGAGAGTGAGAGCGATAACACCAAATTTAACACACCTGCTCCCCATTCACACTTGAGACCTTGTAACACTAACGAGTCACATGACACTGGGGAGGGAAAATGGCTAATTGGGCCCAATTTGGACATTTTTTACTTAGGGGTGTACTCACTTTTGTTGCCAGCGGTTTAGACATTAACCACTTGCCTACCAGGCACTTATACCCCCTTCTTGCCCAGGCCAATATTCAGCTTTCAGTGCTGTCACACTTTGAATGACAATTGCACGGTCATGCAACACTGTACCCATATGAAATTTTTATCATTTTTTGAGACAGATAGAGATTTCTTTTGGTGGTATATAATCACCTCTGGGTTTTTTTTTTTTGCTAAACAAACCAAAAACAACTGAAACTTTTGAAAAAAAAAAGTTTTTTCTTAGTTGCTGTTATAAAATGTTGTAAATAAGTGATTTTTCTCCTTCACTGATGTGCGCTAATGAGGCTGCAGTGATGGGCACTGATAGGCTGCACTGATAAGCACTGATAGGCGGCACTGATGAGGAGGCATTGGTAGGTTGCACTGATGGGCATTGACAGGCATCACTAATGGGCACTGAAAGGCAGCACTCTTATGGCACTGATATGGCACTGATAGGTGGCATTGACTGGCACTGTTAGGCGGCACTGATAGGCAGCACTGACTGGCACTGATAGGTGGCACTGACTGGCATTGATAGGTGGCACTGAAAGGCAGCTCAGATGGGCACTGATATGTGGCATTGATGTGCACTGGTAGTAGTGGCACTGATATGTAGCATTGATGAGCACTGACAGCTGACATTGATGGACACTGACAGGTGGCACTGATAGGGCTACACTGATCATCAGGGCACACTGACCATCAGTTCCCTGATGATCAGTGTAGATGTCCCTTCTAAGGAATGCCGATTACCGGCTCTCCTCTCCTCACGAGCTGTCAGTGTGACAGCTCGTGAGGAGACCTGCCAGTGCCAAACAGCATTTCCTTATTTACATGCGATCCGCTGTGATTGGACACAGCTGATCACTTGACAGAGCCGACGACTTCGGGTCTTTCCGTTGATTGGTGATCCGCTGTGTCCGAGGGACACAGTGCACCACCGATCGCACCGCCCCCCAGAGCCACACACGTGGTTAAAGTAGAAGGACGTCATATGACATCCTCCCAGAACAAGAGAACCGCCTTGCACCCATCATTTCCTTATATGGCGGGCGGGAGGCGGTTAATGGCGTGTGTTGATTTTGAGGGGACAGCACATTTACACTGTTATACAAGCTGTACACTCACTACGTCACATTGGAGCAAAGTGTCATTTCTTCAGTGTTGTCACATGAAAAGATAGAATAAAATATTTACAAAAATGAGAGGGGTGTACTCACTTCTGGGAGATACTGTATGTTCAACCCCTTGAATTAAAGCTGAAAGTCTGCACTTCATTTGGATTGTTTCATTTTAATTTATCCTGGTGGCATACAGAGCCAAAAGTATGAAAATTGTCCAAATATATATGGACCTAACTGTATATGTGCACGGCTAGTTTCGGAGTTCCTCTGTCCCAGTCATCTAGCCATTACAAATCGCTCCTTACCTTTGCCATTTATTTCTGCTTTCAACACACCAACTTCAGGGACAACATGTTCACTTGCTGCCTATTAATCCCTCCCACTTTCAGGTGCCATTGTAAGGAGATCATCAATGTTAGTTACTTCAACTGTCAGTGGTCATAATGTTATGGCTGATCGGTGTAGAACTTTCAGGATACCTGAGAGCAGACTGACCATTTGGAAACTCGGCCACTGCCTGAGGGCCCGGGTCAGTAGGGGGCCCCATGAGATGCCCCTGGTACCTTTTTTCATAGGCTTTTTTGAGTTTGGGCAAGGACACAGGGGCCCCATGATCCCTATTGCCCGGGGGCCCCATGAGTTGTCAGTCCGCCCCTGCCTGAGAGGAGGATCACAGGAAAGCAGAGCTCCTACTGACAACAGGCACACGCCGCTTCCCATCCCACCAATGAGAGCCGGCACAGAGAGCTGACACCTGATTGGTTACGATGGATAAATGATCTAGTTCTCTCCGTAGGCTGGAGACGGAGTTGTGCCGTGTGCGCCTCTGTGAGGAAGTTCTACGTTTGTCCAGCAGGTGGCGCCGTGTGCCGGCCATGAGCGAGTTGAGGGCGGAAGAGAGAAGAAGCTTCTGGAAGAGACTGGCGAGGTTCCGCACTGATCATATATCATCTATAGGCGTGTGTTTGCAGCAGAGCCGGTGAGTGAGCTGTGACCCTTTCAGGAGGACTCCCCGGTACTGACAGGTATGAAGCCTGCTCTGTGTACATGCTGTATGTCACTCCTCTACACTGATGTCTTCCTGTGGGGGGGAGGAGCAGTGCCAAACTTTACCTGGGGGGGAGCTGTGTCTGGGCAGCCATTGATATCCCTTCATTGTATATAAGGGGTCCCTGTGCACATTGTAATACCATAGAGGGGGGTCCCAGCATGGACCGTGTACAATGGAGTGAGGGGGGGGGTCCCAGCATGGACCGTGTACAGAGGAGTGAGGAGGGGGGGTAGCAATGGACCGTGTACAGAGGAGTGAGGAGGGGGGTCCCAGCATGGACCGTGTACAGAGGAGTGAGGAGGGGGGGGTCCCAGAATGGACCGTGTACAGAGGAGTGAGGAGGGGGGGGGGTCCCAGCATGGACCGTGTACAGAGGAGTGAGGAGGGGGGGTCCCAGCATGGACCGTGTACAGAGGAGTGAGGAGGGGGGGGGGGGTCCCAGCATGGACCGTGTACAGAGGAGTGAGGAGGGGGGGGGGGGTCCCAGCATGGACCGTGTACAGAGGAGTGAGGAGGGGGGGGGGGTCCCAGCATGGACCGTGTACAGAGGAGTGAGGAGGGGGGGGGGTCCCAGCATGGACCGTGTATAGAGGAGTGAGGGTGGGGGGGTCCCAGCATGGACCATGTACAGAGGAGTGAGGAGGGGGGGGGGGGGTCCCAGCATGGACCATGTACAGAGGAGTTGGGGGGGGGTCCCAGCATGGACCATGTACAGAGGAGGGGGGGGTCCCAGCATGGACCATGTACAGAGGAGTTGGGGGGGTCCCAGCATGGACCATGTACAGAGGAGTTGAGCATGGACCATGGGGGGAGGGGGGGTCCAGTATGGACCGTGTACAGAGGAGTGGGTGCCTGCACTGTGCACACGGCTCCTTCTTCCTCCATAGGGATGTATGGGCTGCTATCACATCACTGGGGACATGACACTGTATTCTAGCAGACAAGAGCTCCTCCTAGACACTCCTGGATGAGGTTCAGCCACTCCGACTGACACAGAGCCATGCTGGGTGTCAGGGAGGAGCGTGACCCGGACATACATGGAGGAGCAAAGCATGCAGGGAAATGTAGTCTTCTTTCTCTGTATAACCAGGACAGGAGAATAATCCTCTTGTGAACTTTCCCTCATTCAGGATGATGAGATTTTTCTTCTTCACACACAGGGACAGCAGAACTAAGTCCTGATATTATCCTTCTATACAGTCCAGTCACATTCTGGATTCCCTCCCTAATTCACTGACGTTTATCATTTGTGACATTCTTGTCACCTCACTTATCTGCATAATTTATCACATGCTGTCATTTAAAGGATAAGTTCACTTTTTATTTAAAAGAATTATAATAAATGCATCTATAGGTAAACAAAGGTGCATGTATTGTTTTTTTAATTTTTTTTTCCTTAGAAGCCTGCAGAGTATTAGAGCCACAAGCAGCTGATCACAGGTACAACATCAGGATCCTGCAGACTGTCAGCTGCCTTCCTGTACAGGATATGTGATTGGGATTGCATTCACATCTGTGCATTTCCTAACATGTGGCAATCCATACAGAACATACATGCTTTGCCATGCAGTTCGGACATGCTAATTCCACTTGTGTTGCTATTATATTTTCTGTGTGGGATGCCACGGGTCTGGAAACATGCGAATGCAGCCTAATTGTAATGACACCCCAATCGCAGTTAGCATGCCATTATGGTGACGCAAGAGCGATGTGCGTTTGCAGTGCATGTCCAAAACGTGTGAAACAGTATGTGTGGCTGGGAACATGCAGATATGAATTCAACTTTATTGTTAATGACATCTCAATTACAATTAGCAAATGTGTGTTTTGTCACAAGTGTTCGATGCTACATGACCAAAAAGGTTCTTGAGCTACCTTGGGGCGTTTGCCATGTGTAGGGTAGCCTGTTCAAGAGAATGAGCTGCCCTATACGCAACGTGCATTTACATGAAAAAAATACATAAAAACGAACAGGAATGCGTGTTTCTGCTATGCTCAGCTGAATGTACTTAGGAGGAGAGTTCTTAGGCAGCAAGGATGACCTGGGAGGAGAGGTGAGGGTTAAAAAAAAAACCTTAAACTTATCAAAGTCCCAAAGGAATGGCTTCTTATTTAATGCTGATGTAACTTCTGTGGGCTGTATAGAAGTCTATGGGGCTGAAATCGCATTGGAGTCACACCAGAGTAGTGCAGGAACGTTTTCCAGAATCGCATCATGCTGAGTTGCAAGAATTAGGATGAGCACCATTGAAAACAATGTGATTTGCCGTTGTCATACAATTCTGTGTGACTCAAGTCCTATCAGAAGTCACACCAGTGTAAACCTGGGCTTTGTTCACAGAGAGCAATAATGCCTGACAAGGATTACCACCCTTCTCTAGTCTCTCCAAAGCTAGAAAAAAAAGTTATGGCTGTGCTTACACTTTAAAACAGGGCTTCTCAACTGGGGTTCCATGGATCCCTAAGGTTTTCTGAGAGGTTCTCTGGGATTCCACCATGATCTACCCATGAATTGCGTGGGCAGCACAGTGGCTAAATGGTTAGCACTTCCGCCTGGCAGTACTAGGTTCGCTGGTTTGAGTCCCAACCACAGCACCACCTGCCTGGAGTTTGCATGTTCTCCCTGTGCCTGCATGGGTTTCCTTCGGGTACTCCGGTTTCCTCCCATACTCCAAAGACATGCTGGTAGGTTAATTGGCTCCTGTCTAAATTGGCCCTAGTATGTATATGTATGAATGTAAGTTGGAGACCTTAGATTGTACGCCCTTTGAGGGTTAGGGAGGGTTTATAGGGACTGATGTGAATATTATATATATATATAAATGCACCTGAAATAAGCACCTGAAATAAATAAATAAATTGCAGGCATCTGATGGGTAGATCACATCCCCACTGCCAACACTCTTCTATCATGCTCCCCCCCTCTTCCCTATGCAGAAGGATAAGTTCACCTCATGTTACATGCAACCATGCTGCCAGTGCTCAGCTACCCTGCTCCCATCTTCCCAGTTCTTGTCCATACTAGCTGTCAGTTTTTTATATCAGCTGTGAGGCTCCACCCACATGTGTGAATCATTACAGTTCTGTGGTGATGGACAAGATCCGACAGGAATCGCATTGGGGATATCAGTTTGCACTGTACATCTCATACGGGCAAGCTGTCACTGCAGCTGCAGGACTCTTCCTCCTCATTGGCTGAGGACAGCTACTGTCAGTCACAGCCAGTGTGCCAATGCTAACCCCCCCCTGTGTCCCATGCCCTAACATGCAGCAGTGCCCAAGGCGAGAGGCTTTCGCTGGGGGGGCACTGCTCAGGGGAGGAGCCAGGAATTGACCCAGAATTGAGCATGCCGGGCAAACCACTGCACAGAAAAAGTATAAATAGTGTCACGATTTAATTTTTTTATTCTATTTATTTAAAGGATAAGTTTTCAGGTCCTTTGGGCTCATGTTGGGTGGTCATGTTTCACCGCCCATCTCTGCCAGTGCTGCAGCCGAAACGACTCCCCGCTCTCCATGTGACCGCAGTCCTATGGGGAATCCCAGCTATGAAAACTGATCATAGCTGCATTCTGCTTCCATGTGGGATTACCAGGTTTTCGATAGCAAAAAAAAAAAAAAACAGATATATTTATAAACATCTTCAGGGAAAACGTACACTTACATGAAAACTTAAGTCCTCATGGTACACA